GTGTCCACACCCATAATGCAATGACTCTCCCACATGCCCCACCCCTCTGCACATGCGCGCAACCCCCCGGCATGCACGCGTGACCCCTGCATGTGCGCACAACCCGCCCTTTTGGCCTCACATCCCAAAACAGCACGGGGGGGGAAGCCTTTACCTCCCAAAACGGCTGGGCTGGGGGGGAAAGCTTCCAAAATGGCTCGGAGGGGGGGAAAAGCCTTTGTCTCCCAAAACGGCTGGGGGGGAGGGAAAAAAGCCTTTGCCTCCCAAAATGGCTGGGAGTGGGGGGGGGGGAAGCTTCCAAAACGACTGGGAGGAGGAAAAAATTTCAATTTCAATTTAATTCAATTTATATGCCACTCCTCTCCAAAGAGTCAGGGTGGCTCACAATACATTTAAAATCCTAATAAAAAACATTTTAAAATTAAAAACATTAAAAACATTAAAACTCATTCATACCATTCATGGCCGGATCTCGCCGGATCGCAAGAGCGAGATCAACGGCCCCAGGCCTGCCGGAAAAGCCAGGTCTTCACCGCTTCTCGGAAAGCCAATAGGGTGGGGATGGTCCGGACCTCAGGACGTAACTGGTTCCAGAGAGCTGAGGCAGCCACAGAGAAGGCCCTCCCCCATGGGCCTGCCAGCCGGCATTATTTAGCTGACAGGACCCAGAAGAGACCAACTCTGTGGGATCTTACCGGTCGCTGGGAGCTATGCGGTAGAAGGCGGTCTCGAAGATAACCTTGCCCTGAGCCATGGTTAGCTTCCAAAACGGCTGGGAGGAGGAAAAAAAGCCTTGCCTCCCAAAACATCACTGGGAGGGGAATCTCTGGAGATCTGGGAAGGCACAGGCAGCAGAAAGTGAGGAGAAAGGTAGGTCTCCCCACGCCTGCCACTTGCAGGGCAGACCTGAAAATCAGCTGGCCGGCAGGATGCGCATGTGCAGTGGAGTTGAGCTAGGCAATGGCTCGCGTGCCCGCAGAGGGCTCCGTGTGCCACCTGTGGCACGTGTGTCATAGGTTTGCCATCACGGGCCTAGGCCTAACACCTCCCCTCAGCTGCTAGTCTTCAGATTGCCTCCAGCTGACCAGATCCCCCCTGGCTGGGCCTTCTACCCTGGCCAGGGGTGAGTTCAATATCAATGGACGCCAGCTCCGGCCCTGCCACAGGCGCCTGTCCCACAGCCAGCACCGGCCCCGCTACCAGCCCTGCCAGCCACTCCACCTCCACAGTTTTTAGAGCAACGTTCGACAGGACCCCAGGGAAACTGGCCTACTTCCTCAATCAGGTCTGGTCCCACATTGATCACTATGGGGACCAATATCATACCGATCGGGACATGATTTCACCAATTGCAGATGGCATGAATGAAGGAGAAGCAGCAGAATGGATAGCTGAACTACATGATAAAGGAGCCCCAGAGCTAGAAGATGCGGATGAGTTCATCCAACTGCTCCGAGGCCGGTTTGATGGTACAGCCCACTGGATAGAAGCCGAAGGCCAGATCAAAGTGCTGAAGCAAGCAGGCCGGCCCCCAAAGAATTAGTGTGGGAATTCTGGAGACTGGCTGGAAAATTGAGAGACTGGCCTGAATGCTTTCTCATCTACCACTTCAAAGAGGCCCTAGATCCGGACCTCAGACAAGCCTGTGGCGTCAGGGGAGTTCCAGAGCGTATACAAGCCTGGTACAACACAGCAGTGGCCATGGATCTGGAAATCCATCCTCATCAGAAGCCAATTGCTGAGAAACCAGCAAAAAGAACTCTAGGCCGCTGAACTCCAGTCAAGCTAACCAACGTGCCGCAGCCCACGCTGCCTGGGACGATCAAGTGCTACCAATGCAGTCAGCATGGACACAGGGTATAAGAGTGCCTGGCCCCAGCGCCAGTTCCTCAGGTCCGGACCCCCTCTGCACCCTGAGGGAAAAGAACCCCGAGGAAGCCACAGGACAAGGGGAGAATTGCCAACAGGCTGTTGAGGTTCCTCTCCTTCCAACTGGGGATGAGGAAACTCCAGCCAGAGAAACACTCCAGCCAGAGAAACCCTTCTGGGTTCTGCCGAAGACAGCAGCAGCAAAGACGACCCTATGGTAAGTGAAGCCATCCACCCCTTCACTATTAAAACCCAGGCTGTAGTGCCAGAAAAAGGAACCCAAGGAGAGGTAGAAGCTGTCATAGACACAAGCTGTACCAGATGTCTTATCAGCCTCCCCATAGTCCAACAGCTAGGGATAGGCACAAGACCCCTAGCACGCCCCATCCATTTTGAACAGGTCGATGGGACATTGATAGGCAGAGCCCCCTGCCACTGCTAACAGAATAGCTCCAGACTGGAGATGGAGCGCCACCGAGAACTCATTCAATTCGTCATAGCTCCCAAAATAGTGCATAGTACACCGGACAGGTGGTCTTCACGTGTGCATGCACACCAGAAACCAGAAGACCAGGTGGCCAGTCTGATCTTTTGGTTTTTGGCACACAGGCGTGGGCACGCTCCCGTTTCAGCACTCGGTGCCAAAAAGGTTCGTCACCACTGACCTAAAGTATTGCATAGTTTTGGTATGGAACAAATATATATAGAAACAAGTTCTTTATATTGGATCACTTCACATTCCCTTCAGGAGTACACTTATACTGGAAACATAGCAGCAGCCTTAAATTTACATATCTTACATTTATATACATAATCAAGTAGGCCTCATTGCTGTAATATCTACAATAAAGCAAGATTTATTTGTGCACACTATCACAAGATAGAGCTTAATTTGTTCAAAAACTCTACGGCAGGAACAAGGCACACTATAAAATGTACATGGGAGGGACAAGGCACACTACATACAATATATTTTTAGACCAAACCAGCCCACAATTTAAAAACAACTAAAGGAGATGATATTACAGCAAAGAATAGGCTCCAGTCAAATCAGTAACATCCTGGTTACTGGTAATATATGGCGACAAATATGATAACAGAATAACAAAAATATGGATATTACTTGCTCTTCACTTTGTGATTCTGTACTAAAGTGTAACCTCCAACAGAAGGTTATTTGGAGTTTAACATGGAAAGGACAATATATAAGGAAACTTAAGCTGATGTCATGCTATTATGTTCATAAGCTTTAAAAATAAACACACAGCTATATTTCATTTGCCTTCATTCAAATTATTATCTTTGAAGTTAATGTTTTTAATATTTTTAATATTTATGATTTTAATTATAAGCTGCCCAAAGTCGCTCTTCAGAATGAGATGGGTTGTATATAAATTAAATAAATAATTTCTACTTTGCATCAGAAGTTATAAAATCTAGTCTGGAAGAAATACTCTCTAAGCCCAGGAATGTATAAGAAACACCCAAAGAGAATCTGAGACCAGGATCACTTCCAAGAAACCGGCAATGCACAGTAACTTATTTTCTAAACTGTAAAAAAGAAAAGCTTGTACCTGCATATTGGTAACACAAGGGTTTTTAGATGACATTTTACAGAGCATTGTATTTTATTATCTGTTTTTAACAAGGGCTGAATGAACTTGCTTTTCATTCATACTCATATGCAATTTGTTCAAAGAGTAACAACTATAATTATATTTTTTTTAAAAATCAATGAATCAAAATAAACCCTAACCCTGAAAACACAAAACCATAAAAATCAATCTAATGATCCTTATCCACATTTGTTATTATTACCTCATATCATGAAATTTTTGAATTTTATAAAAGCATCTAAGGTTTACATGCATCCAGTGAAAATATATTATCCACCCTTGCCAGCTACCAAATTTATTCTTATGAGAAATAAAGTAGCACAAACCTGCCTTGCATCTTTATAGCAACCACATACTAAGAAAAAGGTAGGTGTTATCAAATGAGTCACCAATGACGATGAGTATGGCCTCTGTTACTCTGTCGAGCAAGCCGACATTCTTCCAACCTATGCCTACTTAATGAAGATATTGGAAATGGATTTTGTAGGGTCAGAAAGAACTTTATAACTTTTTTTAAATAAAATATTGGTTTGCTGCTAGAATAGGTTGCTAGATTGTCTGTCTAGGTTTAGAAGGGCTGAAATTCTATTTTACCCATTCTACCCACCTCAATAAATTCCTTGTAATTATTCAACATTTGAACAAATAGTATATATTAACACTGAAAAAGGACATAATGACTCCAAACAAGTATTCTACAATAACATTTTGTTTACTATAAGATATTTAAAAGAACCAATGAAAGATGAAGGTATTTAATAGATAGGACAATTATAAAATATATAAAAGGTTGAAAAAAGTGGTAGCTATTAGCAAAGTAAAAGCTTCATTTTCAAAAAAAACATGACTCTCAAAAGCATTAAATATAACTGCTCAAATTTAAAGAAACTTTACAGCTGGCACCTCTTTCAGTTAACACTGTGTAAAGGGGCCAGCCTATATCAAAATCATTCAGCATTGTACCTTCTCCAAAAAGTCAAAAATCTGACTTTTAGGCAAATAGTGCTCTAGGCAATTAAATGGTGCTTAAGTATGCATTTTAAAAGGCAAAAGCAACTATACATTTTATAAGGAAATACAGATAAAAAATTAAACTATGATTAAAAGCCAATACAGTTTTAAATATTTCTCATCCTAAAAACGTACCCTTTAAAAGTTTCCATTACTACATAGCTTTTGAAGGAGACAAAAATCTGAATTCCTGCATAATCATAGTAAAAACTGTTCTATAAATATAAAGTGAATCAGTATCAGTCTTATTAATATCATCATTCAGTTTTGTAACTTTCAAACAAGAGCAAGGTTAAAGTATAAGGCCCAAAAATAGCTTAGCAACCATTCTCGTATAAGACTATATTGCCATGTAGGTTTAACAGAGTCTTACTGTCACACATTATTTTAATCTTCCTTTTACAGTATCATTACAACTCAGAACTCAAGAAATAAAATTACTAAGAATGTGGAGAAGGAAACATTTAAATAAAAGGTACTAAAATGATAGTATCTAAACTATACCTGAGTAGATACACAGCCCTTTCAATATCATTGAGTTCTTCATCAACTGTCAGTCTCTCTATTTCTTCTGGTGTCTGTCAGACATGATACAGAAATTAACATTATTGACATCTCAGCTCCATACTTCAATTTGTTAACAACTATCTCCACTTTCAAATTTGAACGTTCAATGCCACAAGTATATTTATACTACAATCCCACACACACTTACCTGCAAGTAAGTCCCGATGAATTCAAAGGGGCTTACTTCTGAGTAGGCATGCATAGGATTGTACTATTCATCACCAGGGCCACTTTTACTTATTCCAGAGTAAGTATGAATTCTGCCTGAAACACAAGAAATTAAATGAAAATAAATGTAATTAAAAGAAATACTAATGGAAGATAAAAGTGTGCTAGCTTCAAATTGGTCATGTATTTGACTTCTATGAGTCAGATTGCTGACTATTTTCTCCAGTGTTATCTATTTTAATTGGCAACTGCTCTCCAAGGCCTTAAATAAGGGCCTTTGCTCTGCTATTTGATAAACTACAAATAGAAAGAAAAGAACCAGAGACAAATATGAGTTACCACTTGTCCTCCTCCTCAATTTTTGAACCAGAATGACAGCCAGTAATTTTTAAGCCACTTTCTCTGGAACAGTCTCCTGGAAGCCTATGACAGGTTTCAGATATAGTTTTAAGGCCTTTAATTTTAATTCTCATAATCTGATAGCATTCCAAAAATGAGGCAATTAACATTTTAAATCAGTCACTATAATAAAAGATAAAAATTATATAATCATAAAAGTTGCTGAAATCAAAGCAGTTGCTATCTAGGATTTCTCTCCCCCACATCTCAAATGCCATTTCTGAAAGCATTACAACCACTGCTGAGATTCATTACCTTATCTATGCAAAACATCTTTCCAATTTAAAATATGCTAAGCCCGCAGAAAAAGATGCCATCGCCTTGTTTAAGAGGTTCGGGTCTGAAATAACTGTGATTTGATTTATCTATTTTTCTTTTTTTAAAAAAAAAAAAAAAAAACCCCGATAGATTCATACAGCACATATATAAATACCTTTAAACTCCTGCGCACCGGCCTTTCAATGATAGTAAGTTCCTGCAGATCTTCTATATAACCAAACAGATTGTTTTGGCTAAAATCCATTTTGTATGAGAAGATGATTATCGGATGCATGTACTAGGCTGACGCTCCAATCCTTGGCAAATCAGGGTTTTTAGTGGGCACGCTTCACATTGCACTGAGGCCCGAAAAAGAGCAAAAAAAACCCACCCCAAAATAAAACAAAACAAAACCCGGAGGACCTCTCTCCTCTAAAAGATGTACTAGCGAAGGTGGGCGATAGAAGCTGCTTCGCTCCAGCTGCTCCCTCCTCCTCGTAGGAAGCTGAGCCCCCACCAGGCGGGAAGATCCTCAGCAAACACAATGCGGCAGCACCACAGCTCTCCGCCGATGCTCGTTCGGCTCTGAAAGCATCCCTCGCTACCCGGCCCAGGTTTCGGCAAGGAAACTTTCTCTCCCGCTGCTTGACTTTCGCCTCAGTTCCTCCGCCGTTTCCAGGGAGAAGGAGACACCAACATTTCCCCACCTCCGCACACGCGCGCGCGCATACACACGCCCTCTTCTCCCTTTTGCTCTCGTCGGCCGGCGGGTTGGGGGTGGAGGGGTGGGCGGATGAGAAGCAAAAAGAGGGGAAAAAAAGAGAAAAAAAAGAGGGAGGAGGGGAAGGCTCTGGTCCGAGGTGGCAACTTTTCTTTCTTTTTTTCTTTCTTTCTTTTCTCCTGGTTATGAAATCGGAGGCAGCTTTAGGCGTTCAAGTCCAATTCAAAGGCGGTGATGATGGTGGTAGTAGTAGTGGGAAGAGGAGGCGGCCGGCAAAATCCTACAGGAAGCCAAAAATAGGGATGGAGAGGACATGCGAGGCAAAGAACAATTCCGTATCCTTAAAAAAAAAACCCAAAAACTTTAAATCTTAAAAAAAAAAAAAGGGGGGGGGTCTTTTGAAAAGGGAAGGACGTACAGTTAGCCAGTCATTTTACGGTGTGGTGGATCGAAAGAGGGGGAGAAAATGAAGAAAGCAGCTTAGTTACGAGGAGAGGAGCTATTCGTAGATTCCCAGGCAGGAGGGGGAACTTTGGCGGGGAAAGAGGACGTCGGAGGAGAAAACGGGGGACGAATCTTCTGGGCAAGAATTTCTGATGGAGAACAGACGTTGTATCGGGTGTGTGGCGCCAAGATAAGCTTTCTAGAGGTTTCTCTGCGATAGTTCGTGCTAAGAGTAGCTGCTACATGTGTGTCTGTGTGTGTATTCGGTTCTACTCCTCTTCGTCCCCAAGACGGCCCGCTGTCCTCCCCGAGAAGGCGAGGGGACGACGGGCGGGAGGGACTTGCGAGCCAATCTGTTCACCGACCGGCTGAGCCCCAGCTGAGGCGTAGGGAAAGAGAGAGAGAGAGAGAAAGAGGGAGCCTTAGCAATGGGGCCACTTAGGGCCCGCTGTAGTGGTCCGGCTTCATGGGCCCTGGAAGCTTATTCTCGCTCCGCGGCCAAAACGAGCGGGCCCTCCGGGCAGACTCCTTGCTCCCCCCACCCACCCCCGCACGACTCGCGAGGCCCAAAGCCGCCGTGCGGAGATCGGAAAGAGTAGGAGCCGCCTTCGCCTCTTGCTGGTAGTGGCTGCGCAGAGCCCGTCGCCAGGGTAACAAGCAGCTACCGGGGCCGCGGCGGGGCAAAAAGGACTCTCCGAATGTGAACGCCTTTAAGCGAGGACGAGGGCTGCCGCGGCCCGGGGTGTCCCGTCTCTTTCACCCCCCCCCCTCTCCCCGTTTAGTCCAGCCCCGGGGTCATTTTGCAGGCCCACGCATTAACTCTACCCCTGCGGTTATTAGTCAAGAGTTTTTTAAAATGTCGATTTTTCCCTGTGGTTTTGACTGCAGAGTAGTAATCTACTCTGATTATTTGCTGCCGTTTTTCTGAGTCCTGCTGCTGAGATTGGGGGGGGGGGGGGGGGGGGGGCTGCGGTTTTTGCTTGATGCCTTTGGGCCAGGTTCTTTATAGCAGGATTCATATACAGCCAAGTACAGCCTTGCTTAGACATAGTTTAGCTTATTAAACATAAAATGACTGGATTCACACCTTAAGCCAAAACCAATCCAGTTAACATCATGGCATGACGCAAATGCATGAATACAGGCTGTTTCTCAACCTGCCAAAAAACAGCCACCCCAAAAAGTAAAGGTTATGTTTCTTTCCAGCAGAGCTCAGTTCCTAAATGATTCATGGGCACATCCATTTAGTTTTCCTGGCAACATATAGAAATGGTTTTTCATTTATATATGTTGCAACTTATTTCCCAAAGGACCTTATAAGGGTAGCTCTTAAGATTGCTAGTTAGGTCCCTTCCAAGCCGTAGCCTGCTTTGACCTTGCTTGGTTTCTGAGTCCTTCTGCAGCTTAGTATATAGAAATCTATCACATTGCCCCATTTTGACCATGCTTTGTTAGTAATTTTATTTATTTCAGGTAGGTTTTAATAATAAAAGTATCATCAATTGAAAGAGACAAAAGTTCCATGTGGTATAACATTCCTTTCCCACAGTAGTCAATCACAGCCCAATGGGGAGCCTCTTGGAATGAACAGAGTAACACTCTTGTTCTTCAGTAACAGCACATTCTAAATGTGTAAGCAATATATAGACATTGCAATTGGTAGCTGTTTCAAATCTGCCTCGGTGGTGGACATCATTATATTTTCTGAGGCTTCTAGCATGTGGTTCATATTATAGTTCTCCCATCATACAGCTCCACTGGAGATGTGGATTTCAGTACTGACAAATAGGTAAAGAAAACCTGTTCCCTTTAAGTCATGAAAAATGTTTCTCTTACATTCCTTTTACATTGATTTATTTATTTTAGCATATGGCATATCATACATGGACTTGCAATATATATTAACATTTCACCTTGATTAGAAACACAGTAAAATATAAATGTTAACAAGTTCTATATTCAGATACAATGTCTACGCTATCTAACCATTGAAGCACAGTATTGTTTTTGTGAAAAAAATCAGGACCGGTATATGCCCTCATCTTGCAGCTGGTCACAAGTGATATACAGTTTGATTAGGACCCTGTCTTTTACATGATGATATTCAATTAAACTTACCAAATGAATCTGTCATTTCTCAGACTAATCTATTTCGTGTGTGGTTGCTGTGAGAATAACATGGAGAATATACTACATTTAAAGCTGTTTGGAGTTAAAATATAACAATAATAACTATATACTATATTGAACCTTAAATACGTTATCTAATTTCAGTTAAGCCCAGCCTTCCAATGCTGATGGTATCTTCCAGTAAAGATTGTCTGTCATTATTGTATTTCTTAGAAGTTCAGTTATTTTCAGGATAAGAACACTGCTTCTGTATCTCTTTTCCTCTTGTATGTTGTCCTAGAAAAAAATCTAATAGCAGAACGAAGATTGAGGTATAAATTAAATACAGTGGTTTGTTATTTGATTTCATGTTTGTTCATATTACCCTTTCATAATGAGAAGTCACTAAGATACAAGGAAGCAAAAACATTTCTGCAAATGATAATAATGAAACTATGAAGCAGCAGTTTCTTAGCAACAAACTGAAAGCCGTATTAAGTAGTAGTCATATTTTTAATCAAAGATTGTGAAATTGACAGTTTGGCATCTGTATTCTAGGTATTTATTTATAGGAGATGTTCTTATAGATCAAAACTTGATACTGCTTTTAGTTGTGTTGCTTTTCAAGATAAATATTCTACTCTTCAAGAAAAACTAGCAGTCTTATATAACATATTTAAATAGGAATTTCAGTTAAACTAATGGAAAAAATCCTCAAAATACCTTTTTTTTTAAGAGCACAAATTATTTTGTTGTATTATTTGGTCAAAAACATGTGCATGGATTTAAATATAATCATCCCCATCTCCCAAAAGGAATAAAGCAATTTGAAGGAATATATTAGATTTAGAGGATACAGTAGCTCTCTTTAATCATCCTTCTTTACCACCTGTTTTACAAATCCTCACCATCTATGGAAATTTTCATCCCAAGTTCAATACTCAGAGAATATGCACCAACCAGAAAGAGGGCAGGCAAGGGGTGATGAGTGTCAAAAGCACTGGTCTGAATGAAACCCAGAGTATCCAAGAGTATATCAATAAGATGGCACCCAAAGAAGAACTGCTGAGAGAATACCTGAGCAGGAACAGACATGAGAGGAAGATAAACCAGAGGAAACACCATGATTAAACCAGAGCCTGCCTAGGATGGGCCATCAACAGATAGATGAGGTGGCCGATATTGGAAAGGGCTGGACTAAAAGATATCATGGAGGCATTCATCATAGCAACAAAATTATAGCACTAGGTGCCTGTTCTATAGAAGCAGAAGTCTACCACACTAGATAGGACTTGGGGTAGAGAGTATGTAGAGGCCTCACAGACTGGCACATAGTGGCAGGCTATATGATATAGGCAAGAACAGCATACATTAAACGGCACAACCAAGTAGCTGGCATTATGTACAGGAAGATCTGCACAATACTGTATATTGACTAGACCCAGGTCATCTCCAGAAGGGAGATTACATAGGTCATGGGGAAACAGGAGGGCTAGCATCCTGTAGGACAGACAGGCAGGCAGCTACTAGGCAATCATCCAGACCTTGTAGTAGACAAGGACCAGAAGATGGCAGTGGTGATGGATGTTGCAGTGCCAAGTGACAGTAACATTAGAAAGAAGGATTATGAGAAGCTGGAGACGAACCAGAGCCTGAAGGAGGAACTAGAGACGTTGTGAAAGTGGTCCTGGTGGTGCTAGAAGCACTTGAGGCTGTGCCTTCTCAACTGGGAAAGTGGCTCCAACAGAATCCAGGAACGACATCCGAACTCTATGACCAGTAGAGAGCAGTGATAGGAACAGCCAAGATACTATACAGAACATCAAACTCCCAGGCCTCTGATAGATGCCCAGAAATAGAGAAGACACATGCCAGAATGATGAAGGAAATTTTTATAAATATATCCTACAGTAGCACTAATGAAGGAGCAGATTTGTGACTTGGCAACTCTTCTAGACTTACAGCTCTTGCTAGAACAGCAGGTAGAGCCTATGGCAAACAGCTTTGGCTAATGCACCAGTTGCACCTCTACATAGAGCAGGATGATCTTGCTGTGATGATTCATGCTCTCATCAACACCTGATGTAGACATTAAGGAAGATGACCTTGATGGAAATATGCAAGAATTGTAATCCAGGAAAAGGACGCTGAAGCATGTTTTAAGACCACAACAAAGAGTTACTATTTGGGAGTTGCTCAGGGAGATGCCTCTCTAATTCACTGAAGGAGGAGGAGGAGGAGAAATAGCTCAATCAGATTTAGATTTCTTGTAGACTTGATTTCTTGGCCAGGTCTATCTAGCAGGGCTTATATCTGCTTGACTAATGTAACACAGTCTTTATTTATTTGTTTGTATGTATGTATGTATGTATGTATGTATGTATGTATGTATGTATGTATGCCGCCCTTCTCCCTGAGGATTCAGGGTGGTGAACAGCCAAATAAAAACATAAACTACAAACATTAAAATACAATTAAAAAGATATATATAAATTTGGCCCCGTGATTAAAAACAATAACAAACAATTAAAAACATTTTAAAAAGTGTTAGGCCAGCCCAGCTTGCTGGAAAAAGAAGGTTTTAAGGGCACGGTGGAAGGCACCGAGGTCTTGGATTCTCCTTATCTCCGGGGACAGCTGATTCCAGAGGGTAGGTGCCCCCACACCTATGGGGTTGCTTTAAGTTCACTCAGGTACAGTAGATTCAGAATGCAATGGCCCATATGCTGACTGACATTCACCAATAGGAGCACATAACTCCAATGCTGCAGGGTTTATATTAGTAACCAATAAGGTTTTGAGTGCCCTTTATAGTGCTGATTCTAATCTACAATCACAAGCTAGTTTTACATAACTTGCTGCTTACTTATCTGCAGCAATGCATTCTCTAGATAAAATCAATCCAATCTGTCCAGAAAAAAAAAATAGGAGGGACCCAATTGATGAAGGGGGGTTGACCCCATGGTTATTTGGTTTGGTTAATTTAACATTCTTCACTGTCTTTCATTAGTATTGTTTACTCTTTATTTTTCTTATGTATAATTATTTGTATTTATATACCCCTGAGAGTCCTTAGGGAATCAGTGATCTATAAATGTAATCCATCATTATCATCATGTACATGTGCTCCCCAATTAATTCACAATTAGCATCAGCATAATAATCAAACTCCATATAACCACCAGTTAACACAACCACCTGCACCATAAACATGCCTGAAAAGTTCTTAAAAAGCAGTATTTTCACTGCCTCCCTGGATATTAGTAAGGCAAAGCCACCCTGATATGAGGCAAGCTGCTGCAAATGCAAAGGGGCAGAGCAAGGGCTCATTTCTTAAACTTTACCTCTCCATTTTCCTTAACATGGGTATTTGCAGCATGCCCCGTCTGCTCCTTTGCATTGGTGAGCAGATTTTATTCTGAGTAGACAGTCTCAGAAATACCTAGGATCGAAGTCTGTAAGACTTTATTGGTAACTACT